ATGCTGAGGGTCTCAACCTGAATAGAAGGTAACATGCAAAAACGCACCTGAGTGGGCATGACTACCTAAGCCTAACAAGGTATACCTCAACCAACATAGCTAGCTACACGTCCTACTGCATATACGCTCCCTAACCGTCGACTATGAGACTCAAGCTCAGACCGCGGTATCATAACTATATATATAAATTCCATCCAAATACCATGTCGTGCCGATCAACTGTTCGCCGCTCAAGACACAACATATAATTAGGATTTACATGTTTTAATTAAATCCCTATCCTTACTAATACAGAAATATAAACAACCATCTAATATGTTGTTCAACTGTTTAGTTGACAGGACATGAAACCATGTACGATTTAACTGTTTTAGTTAATCCATTCCGTATGTATGAATGGGTAGGGATTAGCGTTTTGATCTAATCCATCCCTCTGTATGCCACCATCCCATACCGGTGCACACCATGCAAATGATCCGTAAATGATGCAACATTTTAAACAGTTCATCAAGAAATGTCCACATAATCCAAACAGTTGATAAATGCAGAATTTAAACAGTTCATCAACTAGAAAGCCAGAATCCATCCATGTACTAACGAGATAAAGTTTAATAAATTATCCAATTAACATCCAGCATCTATCCAGGTAATCGACAGAAAAATATATATATATATAATTAATTCTGCAATTAATTCCAGGCCAACACACATTTAGATTGACAAAACCTAAGTATTAGTTCAGCAACTTAAGTCCAAACCATAACCCAAATAATTTCAGGATAGTGCTTAATATTACAGCAACTAAACCTAAGCTCCAATCCATGTATTGCAGAAAAGAATATAGTATTTCAACCATTAACATCCAAGGTATGCATAGGTCAAGCTTGTTAATTAAATGATCCTAGTGTGCAACCAAAATAGGATTTATAAATATACACATATTCCGTTAAATTGCTAAAATTAAATTAGGTAATTAAACTCCTTCCATCCGTTAACCGCCTGTACCATTGTATACTTTCCTACGGTTAAACCCATGAGTACTAAAACCTTAATTTACTAAAAGTGGCTCTAATATAGCATGATTTAATGGTTGGAGTCTATGTTCAACCCTTTTTAATTGCTAGACACAAGCACAATTAAATCCTTCCGGTCCGTTAAGTCCATAAACTGCCTCCGACATGCTCTAGATTTTCCTATGGTTTAAAGCATTAGCGTAGATATAAATTAATGCATCCTATGGCCTTAATACTCCATGAATTAAGGTTTAAGACCATCACAGTAATCCAAACACTGCTGAAAATAACCCAATTGCAACCAAACAAGGCTTATTCACGCTACTGTAACACACAGAACCACAGAGCCTTCTCTAAAAAAAAAAAACTGGAGAAGACTCTAAACACCTAGAGCCTTCTCTAAAAAAAATTAGAGAAGGCTCTAAACCACCTAGAGTAGGCTCCCACATTCTAGAGCCTTCTCTTTCTTCCTTTGAGCCTTCTCCTTTGCTTCCTACTTCGTTCTGCTTCATCTGTTTCACTTCCAGCCTCTTCCTAGCCCTCCGTTCTTCCTTAAAATTGATCTTAGCAGTCTTATAACTATCCAGTAGCATCCCAATGGTTTGGTTCGACAGTTGGAATTTTATTACAGTGACTTAAAACCCCTACCGATTCATTACACGTTAACACAAAATTTGAACTCAAACTTGCAGGCATAATTACAGACCATACTAAAACATATACAGATAATCAAAACTAAACTTAACCATCTTATATATATCCAATAACATCCTAAACCCTTGTTTATAATAGTATGAATTAAATCACCCATCAAAACAGTACAAATCTGTAAGTTTAAAATAGACGACAAGCACCAGTCAAACAAGAATTGTTCAGACAACCATAAAAACCTACAGATAATCAATTGGACATATAAAACGCATGCCAGATTCGATTAAAAATTCAATTAAAATCCTAAAGACATCTAGGTATGCATAGAACACAGGACAAAGGGATAGAGAGAGAATATAACTTGCCTTTACAGTTTTGGATTCAAAACTCTGTTGTCGTCTAACTAAGTTTTTCCGGCAATCCAACTCGCTATTAAATCTCCTATTGCTCCATCTTCCCTTCTCCTACGTCTGTCCTTCAAGCCACGGCCCCAAAGTGGCTTTGTTTGTTTCTCCCAATCCCTCTCTGTTCCTCTCTGTTTTCTCTCTATCAACTATACGTGTATAGGGTTATAAACCCTTTTGAGAGTATAACAGTATATATATATATATATACACCAAGAAACCCTAAACCAAATCCTATTCCACGATAAAACCTAATTCTAGTCGACGTGAGATATAAGACTAGAATTCTAGTTTAATATTACAATTAAAACACTAACAAGTTAAACCTAATTAACTTATTTAACTAAACTAACAAAGCACTTAAACAATTAAAACTAATTTAATTCAATTAACGAAAATTAATTCAATTACCGGAAATAAAAATAAAATTAAACAATTACTTAATTCACATAACCATAATTAACGAAAACAATTCATTTAATTAAAACAAGTAATTTAAAATAAACCACTACTCAAATTAAACAATTTGACACATAAGTACATAGCCATAAAATTAAATTAAAAATTTCACATAGAACAAAATTTAAATTTCAATCTTATCCTTTTGAAAACTAGGGGTATTACAACTACCATTCCCACCATTTATATTTGCATCAGTAATATTAATATTAGGCACATTCCAAGTCAAGTTGTAGATATTAGAAGGAAACTAAAATTAAACATAATTAAAAAGAAGTACAAATCTAAAATATCTGGTCAAAAAAGGACCAAAAAAAAACAAATTTTTTATAATTTTTTTACCACTTTTTGTGAATTAATTTTTTTATATAATTTTTTTTTTCAGAAATTTATATATAATATATATGTATATTATGTATATAATATACATAATATACATATAGAGATGTGATGACTGGTGAGAAACAGCACCGTTTTGAGAAATGAGAGACTTGCCAATAAAATTTGGCAGCTGCCATATATGAGAAGAAATTTGAGAATCTCAAATTTTGAGAGCTCAAATAAGAGCCCATTGGAGAGGCCCTTTTTTACCCAACTCTCATATTTTGAGTTTGAGAGGCCCAAATGAGAGAGCATTGGAGTTGCTCTAAGCTATACTAATAAAAGCGCTTTCAACATTCTAACAATAATCCCGAATGGGCTCAAAGAGTTATACATAGACAAAGAGTGCGAGGTGGCACCATTATTTCTTTGTTAATATTTTATATCTACCATCTATTTTTCAAACCTAATGTTGGCAAAAAAGCATAAAACCCCCCCTCAACTATCAAAATTTAGCATTTTACCTTCTGAACTATAAAATCGAGCAAATCAGTACCACAACTATAAGAAAACGTGCATATTGCCCCCTACCAGTCACTTCCGGCACATTTTCGGCCGACGTCGTTGTATATTTACAAAAATGCCCATTATAATTAACATTTTAAAAAGGCAAAAAAAAACTAAATAAAGTAAAATACCCTCAACACCCCTCATGTAATATAGCTCTCGTATTCCTAAAATTGCCAAATGTTTTAGTTGAGAGCCATTTGGGTGCTAGGGTTTGCTTCGAGTAACAGTTTTAAGCATCTCTCCCTTGTATGATCTTGTTCCTTCTTTTTTTCAGATTATCAAAGGGACATTGAGTTTGGTTGGATGATTTCTTCATTAATTTCACATCATTGCTTTCTCTGTGTATGCAATTGTGTGTGTTTTACGTTTGAAAATACTCTTACAGAACTACCTTTAAGGAGATTGAAATGAAACGCTAGTTTTTTATTTTATTTTTTACTTAATTAAAGGTATAATCAAAAGGCATTTGGAAGAGCATTTTTTGTGTCCTGTTCAGTGCAGCCATTTTTCTTTGACAAACAAGGAATTCATCATAACACACACACACACACACATATATATATATATTTAAAGTAAATTTTTTTCCTGAAAATTTTATTGAAAATAAATAGAGAATTACAAACTTTAATTTAGTTATAAGAAAATACTTGTAATTATTTATCATAAGAGTTTTTCTTTTCACTTTTTCTTTATTTATTTTTATGATCCTTTAAATTCCTAATTATAGAAGTTAAAATAAATTAACACACATAATTATTAAACACCTAATTGCACTTAAACATTTTACTTCATATAGCTCCATACGACTACAAACAATTTATTTAATGTATTGACTTTAAATTTTTATTGTGAAATTTTGTTGGAGACTTGGTACTATTGGGGAGAGAGAGAGAGAGAGATCATGTTGCACAATACATGTAGAAGGAAATGGGTTTGCTAACATGAATGGAAAAGGCTTCTTACAGGCAAAGGGCTATAACAATCATATTGAAGGGCCATCTTGGTATTATAAATAAATAAATAAATAAAAAAAGACAAGTCACGTGCTGCAATTGTTAGCCGGAAAGGTATCAGAAGTGACTGGTACAGGGACAATATCACTTTTTTGATTTTGTAATTCAATAAAATAAAATACTAATTTTTGATAGTTGAGCGTAGTTTTATGCTCTCCCTCCCCCCAAATGTTTTATCATTCTGGTCTTATTTTATTCAAATTGTATCCTAATGAATTTTATTTCTATTTTTTTTTTTATTTCAAAGTCAAATAACATCCTAACATCTCAATTTTTTAAATTATATTTTTTGCATTTGTTACATGTTTAAATTGATGCTTGATATGATTCATGCTTGATATGACATGGAGTCGAGGTTTAAAAGTCGACATTTGTAAGCAGCAAAACCACCATCGAATGTAACACCTACATTACTTGTTATGTCAATAGAAACCATATCCTCGAATCAGAATTCAATTCCCTATAAAATATGTCCTGATGAATTTGCTAAAATATTAGCTCCTTGAAATTGGAATTGAATATTCGAAAAAACTAATGACATCTAATGTCATCAGTCCAACTCACTGAACTTTTGGACTCCAAATCATTTTCCAAAATATAATTACAGAATTGGATTTCATACATCATGGTTGATGCTACAAAGGGTTAGAAATGTAGCTCCAAAGTTCCAGAACAAGGAGTTTCCAGTTATTGATCCCAATAATAACTTCCCATCAGAGTAAGTAACCTCGCCAACTCTGGCCACAAATAAATGAAATCATACAAAATTTCCTACACAAAATAATATGTGAGAATTAAGTCATTTCAGTGAAATTCACTACCTTGCCATTCCTGAAAGACGGACCCCTCATTAAACAGAAAAAACCCCATCAGTGAAGCATAACAAATTAAAAACAGCCATTATTGATCATATTTCTGTTTACTAGTGTTCACGGGAGGCAATGAAAGGTGTTGCACGATCCTCTGAACCTGCTCAGGATCAACCCGGAACTTTTCGGAAATCTGGTCAATGTTCATAGGCCCATCATGATCATCAGCCTTGCCTTGGTACAAGAGGATAACGTGGCGTATTTGTGCCACATTCAGTGTTCCAGGAGGAGCAGTTCTTCCCTCGTATCTACCAGAATCTGGCGTTGTATTTCTCAATTTTGGCATGGGCCTGTTGTACTTTTCAACCACAATTGCCTGCAACAGAATACTAGAAATCAAGGATTGACATTCAGGGAAAAAAGAAAAAAAGAAATCAAGGATTGACCAAACTGATATAAAGCATAAACAATGTTAAATATGGAGCACACCAGTTAGAATTCAATCACTATCCATTATAAAACATGTCACCCTGCAGCTTTTTTCTGAACAAAATTTGAAAAATAACAAGCTAAATGTTGGATTATAAAGCCCACGGTTTGCAAACATTTATCATCCATCAAGACTGGTCACCAATGGAAGCAAGTGCCCCTGCTAGAACACCTGGCTCTGCACATTCACAACGACTCTGCAAAGGTGGATAGATAGGATGCCCAAATTGAAAGGAATGAAGACAGAAAAGTTAATCCTGTTCAACTTGAAAGAAACCACTGTTTTAAGTACCTAAAATAGATTCCGACTCCAGTAATTTCATATAAAACTCAGGAATTTCAAGCAATCCTAAGCTGCTACTTTCATATAAAACTCAGAAATTTGAAGCAACCCTAAGCCAGCAGCAGCACCTCCTCCTTATCCTCCTCCTCCTTAACTGGGGCTTTTATTATATGTAAGCACTAACTAATGTTTTATAATCCTACAAAATCAACTGCTGAAGACAAGGGTATTCTTCTTGTGAACTGAAGTTCAATCTGTGGGGTAAGTATTTGGTGCAGTAACATAACAATTCTAAAAATGCGTTCTTAGCACCACAAATGCAAACTCTTGGAGATCCAGAAGTTCAGCATAGCTTCATCAAAATATTTAGGAGAATGTAATTAGTTCCTGAACTCTTTAACACGAAAAGTTCCAAAATTGATATACCTCAGGAGAAGAATTTGGTAGCCTCCAAAATTGCATACAAAAGAATTTCATAATAATTGACACATGCCAAAGTACTTATGTATCACCACCTAACTCAATTAAGGTGACAAATTTTGAGAAGATACGCGTAATTAGGCTAAATGTTCTAACTGAGGTCCTCACCACCGCAACCAAAAGAAACACAAGCACGCATAAAAAAAATTAGTACAGAAACATTTTCAAACATATGGTAGCTGTGAAAGCTGAACAACCCTCAAGTAATGAAGTTACAAATAACTTCTACATGCCTTCATCAGCAGGTGATGAGAAATACCTGCATGAAAGAAGTGCTAGACACGGCCCGTGAACAAAGTATTAGTTCAGATCATATCTCAGAATGCCTTGGAGTAAAGGATATTTTTCAGAGAATTCGTGCATCTAGAGCAAGGCAACTTCAGGTATTCAACTCGATAGAACATCTGTCCAATGACAACTCGACAGGTTGCAGAGCCTTCCCGCCAACAACGCATCATTCAAATTTCTACCCTATCAGCTTCTTATAATCTTTTTTGGTTTTTCCTTTTTTTTTAGGTAAGCTTACTACAAACATGCACAACCAAAATTAACCCAAACGGGACTTGAAACCTCAACCTTCCATTTGGAAGGAGGATGAGATACCAGTTGAGCTAAAGGATTCTAATCATTTCTGATTAAGAGAATTCACTCATTTTATGGATTCCAATATTCTAGAAACTTGAGCACAATGTTGCACAAGGCATGCATGGAACAGAAAAATGAAGCACATATAATAAAGTGAGCATGATACTGATATCTGTGTTATCAAAGGCCCAAGGCAGGGGCGGAGCCATAAATTTTCATTTGGGGGGGGGTGGAAATAAATAAAATAATTGCAATACTTTTTTTTCAATCATAACAAATAAAATAATTGCAATACTTTTTTTTCAATCATAACAAATAATTTATATACTTCTATATATATAGTACTAATATGTTTTAACAAGACTTACACTTTTATTATTAAGTTTGAATTTTTAAAGGCAAGACCAAAAGGTTCAAAAGAATCATAAATAATTTTTTCACAAATCACCTTTAATTTCCATCGATAAGTAACTATAAATGAGAACTTTATAAAATTTTGGGAGGTCAACTTTAATTTTCTTATACAAAATTACCATGAATAATTACTGTTAATAGAATTCTGAAACATTTTTTTTTTTTGGGGGGGGGGGGGGGGGGGAGGGGGAGGGGGGAAATTTAATATTCTATACAAAATTACAATTAATAATCATTAATAACTATACACTATCTACTAATAAAAATTTTAAAAAAATTGGGCTCCGCCCCTGGCCAAGGTGTACTAAGGCTCTAGAGGTCCGTTGGAGCCTAGGCGCAAGGCGAGGTGTGCACTTGAGTGAAGTGAGGCACGCAATTGAAAAATTGAATTATTAATGTTGTCAAAGGCGTACCTGGGCAAACAATAGGCGCAAGTGTTGCGCCTATATGAGCCTGGAGCCTAGGCGTGCGCCTTTAACAACACTAACTGATATGCAATGAAAACAAAAACAAGCAAAACAATAAGACAAATGTTATATAATTCCATATGCCAGCTCCATTGCCGCCACTCCATCTCTTTCCAAGTGCATTTGTCCGATGAACTTATTGGATTTGCCAAGATCAACCAAACAGCTCTTGCAGCAACTCTGATCAACTTCTTAAAATTTAGCATGAAATTATTGACAATACAAAGTAAACGAAACAATGACAATCACTTATAATATTACAATTAGAAAGATAGAAACCAACCAAGTCATTAACGGATGATCTACCTAGAGCATCACTAATGATATTGAAAGGCAGTTGGATACCGGAAAGATTGTACTATACATCATCATCCTTGCCTTTTATCTCACATGGAAAGGGTCAGCCACATGAATTCTCTTTTTCCATTTTTTCCTATTATATATCATGTCTTCTCTTAGATTTAATTTTTTAGATCATTTTTTATTACTTCATCCCACGGAAAGTTTTGGTCAGCCTCTTTGTCGCTTACCTTTTAGGCAAGCAACGCTTGTTCTCATAGCCAGCGCATCACTGGGTCTACATTGGATATGACCACAACACCTAAGTCTACTTTTTCTAATTTTATCGTTTATAGATTCTATACCTAGCATTCCCCTCACACCTTCATTATTAATCCCATCTCTTTTAGTTACACCTAGCATCCTCATTTCCACAACATGAACATGTTGTTCTTGAGTTTTTTTCAACACCCAACACTACTCTCCATATAATATAGCTGGCCTAATAACCATTTTAAAAAATTTTCCTTTCAGTTTATTTGGTATTTGTTTGCCACAAAGGACACAACTAGCTTGCCACCAAAAGAATGCATTATACATGCTTACAGTAATTAGCAAGGTCACTTATCCGAAGCCCCTTTTTTCTTTCCAAACGCTTAAAATAAGATAATTAAAAAAAATCTCTCAAAGTAGTTGAGCTTCACATAACAAAAAGCAATAAGCCATTAACGCAATTCTGATTTATACTGTAAGGTCACTTATCAGAAGCCCTTTTTTTTTTTTTTTTTTTTCCAAAAGCTTAAAATAAGATCGAAAACTCTCACAAAGGAGTTGAGCTTCACATAACAAAAAGAAAAAAGTCATTAATGAAAGATTCTGATTTATAATAGAACTTCTAAATTAAAATTTATATAAGGAACAGCAACAATTTTCAGAAACTCACCTCACCCATCTCAAGTTTCCCACCAGGTTTAGCTCTAATCCTACCCACCATCCGACTGAGCATAGCATCATACTGCGAATCACGTTCTTCGAGTGGGATTTTGTCAGCATTAATTCCTGATTCACCATCTTCAAGAAATTCAACAAAGGAGAAATGAAATCAAACCACCACTTAAAATGACAAACCAGTTACATTCTCAATATTATACAATTCATATACTGTAGTCAGTATTTAGTGACTTATACTCCTTTTATATATATATATATATATTCAAGCTAATTCCACATCTTAAACCACAATCACATATATAGATGGATGCGCGAGTGTCTAGATATACAGATATATGTATTTTGTATAATTGTATGTATCTACGAAAATGTTTGTTGAAATTTTTAATTGCTTTCTAAATTATTTGGTATTTCTCGAAATTACTGTAACAATTGTGCACTGAAAGCCAACATCAAGTGAAGGCTGTAGGAATAAATCGAATGTCAACTGTATTTCATCGAGAGAAGGCCGGAATACACTCACCGGAATCAGGAGTGACCTTATCGGCGGTGAGCTTGTCGACAGTAACAGGCGGTGGCCGGCGCTCAACGGCTTTCTTCAACTGCGACGAGGAGGACGAAGACGTTTCGACACTCGAACTTTGGATCCTTCCAGATGCTCGACGAAATGCCTGCCCCATCTCTCTCTCTCTCACTTTCTCTCTCTAAACTGTGTAAGTTCTCTCTACGTGTGTAATTTGTTCGTGTGCTTCTCTCAGAAGTTTTGCACCGTGTTTGGTAGATTACAAAGAGAGGAAAGAATAACAAGGAAATTATTCTAAGTAGAAAATAATAATAATAATAATAATATTGTCATGAAAAAAATAATAATAATAAATAAATAAAATTAAATTGGAAATGATATAATGCTCAGTTATTAATGAAAAAAATTTACATTAAATTAAATGTTTGGAAAAAAAATGAATAAAAAGTTTTAAAAAAAATTGTGTATAACACGGGTAAACTCTCTCTCTCTCTCTCTCTATTTATTTTTTGGAATGGTATATGAAAATCTATCACTCTATCCTATACTTCTTCCTTCAAATTTTTTTTTTTTCATTTTTATCCGGTTTTTCAAAAAGTAAATAAATTAATATAAATTCTCTAAAGGTCCGTTTAGTTATAGGTAGAAGTAGTTGGAAAGAAAAATAAATTAAGAAAAATTACAAAAAAAAAAAAATTCTTAGTTTGGTTAGAAATTTTTTTTTTTTTTTTAAGCAAAATATCTTCGCAATTCAATAATTTTCTTCCAAACGTTTCAGGTATAAAATATAAGAAAATTTTAATTTCCAGCTAGAGTTGTGTTTTTATATTTTAAATTTTTATTATTTTCCTTATCAAATTAGTGATTCTATCTGTTTAACTGTCCTAATGGGCTCTTCTTTTTTTTTTTTATCAAATCTCATTTTAAGAATTCCTCGTGTACTATTCTCTCAAAAAATGAAAAGATTTGAAAGAAAAAGACAATGAATAAGTAATATTTTTATAATCTCGAAACTACCCTCTTTTAACATTTGAATTTCATCTAATAATATTTTATAAAAAAATTATGATAGTAATTTAATTTTTATTCTTTCTTTTCTTCTCTCTTATCTATTTTTTCTAAACAAAAAATATTATCATTTTTTTTATTTTCTTTTATAATTTATTCTAACGTTATTATTTCTTTTCTTTTCTTTTATAAGGGGTAATTAATGTTATAGGGAGAAAATATTTATTTTTTAATTTATCCAAACAAACTTTAGATTCTTAACATGTGTAGCCTTAGGAGGAGTGTCACGTGGATGGTTCTGCTGCTAACACGTGTTCATACTTCGTGTTGTCGGTTCAGGCAAGGCAGGAGATTTTATCACTGTAGGAAAGCAATTGGGCCGTTGGATTAGTGTAGGCCCTACACTGGGACGCTCATCTAACGGTTAAAACAATGAAACCCCAATAGGCCGCTTTTTGGATGGGGTAGGTCCAAAACTTGGACTCTCTTATCCAATGGTAAGGAGAATGTACACCATGTGTCCGGTGCGGGTACATCGTAGCCGTCCCAACCTGTTTGTACATGTACAATACGAATAGTTGTGATAAATGTGACGTGCCCAGTGCATGATGCACTAGGCATGCTGAATATAAGAAATTTACGGACCTAAGTTTAAAAATAAGTTTGATTCCTCTGTTATTACAACACCACACCGTGATATTTTTTAACACGTTTAAATTTGATTAATATTTATTATGCTGAAAAATAATTATGTTAAAAAGTAGTTCAAAAGTATATTTTAATGTGGTGACAAATTATACCGCCACTAATTCAAAGAACACGCCGAAAAATAAGCCTCTTGTTTTACTGTCAATAAATAAGTATCTTAAGGGCATCTGGATCGATAGCATTTTTAATCGAAGACAACAAAACACACTTACATTAAAAATGTAATACTCATTGTATACAGATACAAATATTTATACAATACATTTAATTTGAGGATGCAACACTCCTGCTTAAAGAATAATAATATTAATAAATTGATAATATTAAACTTTTTTGGCCCAAAATTACATTTTCAATTTAATAGTGTTACATTTTTAATTTAATTGCACGGTAAAGTACAACATACAAATATGATATATAAAAAGTTACATTCTTATTAACTCTTAACATTGTCGTACTCACAACACTCTTGTGTACTTCACGTGATTTGTGGGCCTTACAAAAAAACTGTGAGTGGTGGTAATGTCAGGAGTCGGTTGTAATAAAATAATTCATGTTATATTCTTGATTAATGCTATTACGGTGTTGCATCGCAAAATGTTACACTCAGGTATTGAATCATCGAAATAATGTGGTTTCGAGAAATTAGACAGTAAAGAGATTAATGCTATTGCAGTGTGTAAACTATAATAATTCGTGTTAAGCCATTAATCACAAATTTACATAAATCACATATCTTAAAATTTCATGATTTTCACATATCTATAATGCATAAATAAATAGTTAGATATAAATATCTCGATTCATGATGTCAAACCTTGTTGAGATTAAATCCAACTTCTAGATCCTTTAACCACGAACTAATCTGCAACTCTGATCAACAGGTAAAGGTGGAAACTGGTTTCTCTCTCTTGGCCTTTTGTACACATAAAACTTTTACGTGTTGTATCATTAATTATATATAATTGATGGAGTATATGCACTTTTATAAAGGCAGAGAGGACCAGTTTTCCTTATAGTAACATAATTCTACTTTCCATCAAAGTAAGGAATAAGAAAGGAAAACACTTCTCCAATAAGTAATTACCAAAAAGGTAATTATAAGTTTACCAAAAATAAATAATATTAATTGATATCTATTTACTTACCCACCAAGTAATATGTCACATGTCCAAATCATGTGGGCCACAATTAAATAAATAATCTTACATTCTCCTACTTGGCACATATGATAATTTCTATAGTGGTTTAGTAAAATAGTCATTAATGTGCACCATAAATCAGATTAACTCATTAAATTGGTCATCATAAATACCATGGTAAATAAATTACCAATGCGAGTCATGGCGGTTATATATCCTTAAATGACACAGTCCCTTCCATGTACCACAACACTAGTAATCTATTCAATATAGTCTATAAATGAAAAGTATCAATAATGATCTAACAATAATGTCTTTTCCAAGACTATTCCTATTACCACTTATTAAAGCAATACGTACATATACATTAATTAATAGGAAATATCATAAATACATTTAATCAGCGCAAAATGTCAAATATATATAAACACTATTTAAGTAATCCACAATTAAAAAATAATCATCATTGACTACATTTAAGACTCATTCTTTCAACATGTTCCATAAATGTCTTGGATGATAGTCCATTCATTAATGGATTGCAATCATAAGTTGTGTGCTTATAATTTCAATAGACATTCGTTATTTCTAAATATCTTCTTTAATGATAAAGTATTTCAACTTTAGAATACCTATCATTTTTCATACAAGAAGATCAACAATTGCAGCATAAATTTTCAGTAATCTGAAAACGGTACCCATAACTCCAAGTCCTGAAATAAATTCTGCAACCATAAATTATAACCTCAAAGCATGCTACAAATTAAAATTTCATAATAGACAAAGTAATCATAAATTACTTTGCACTTTTTCATAATATTGTTCCTCCAACCAAATCTTCTAGAACACTTTTAATATATGATTTATGAGACAATTCTAAAAACAAATCAATGTGATTTATAATGAAATATTTCTATTCCTATCACATAGGATACCTCATCCATATATTTCATTTCAAAGTTCTTAGAGATAACTTTTAGTTTCATATAATAAACTAAGATAACTACTAACAAATAAAATATCATCAATATATAGAATCAGAAATATAAACTTACTCCCACTAACCTTCTAGTATATACACTGATCAACAGTGTTTTTCTTAAAACCAAAAGAAATAATGGTATCATTAAACTTAATATACTATTGTTAGGAAGTTTGTTTAAATCCATATATTGACATCTTAAGTTTACGGACCATGAATTCTTTACCCTCTAATATGAAGTCTTCAAGTTGTTTCATATAAACTTTCTCTTATAAACTCCTATTCATAAAAATTGTATTCACATCCATTTGATGTAACTCTAAATCATAATAAGCTACTAATGCCATGAAATTTTAAAAGATTCCTTCTTAAATACTAGAGAGAAGATTTCTTTATAATCTCTTCATTTATGACACTAATCCATTTAGTAAAATCATTACTGTTAATAGCTTGTGAATATGTAACCGGATCCGTATATATCTCACTATATATCAAAAACAGATTCTTGCAGATATATCACATAGTCATCCGGAATAGCAGATCTCCTTTCTCTTTGAGATCGTCTTAATGTTATTCCTTATGATTCTTCTACAGTCTATTCATTGGTGACAATCTCATTATAGAGTTGTTGATCATTTAATTATTCTTCATTGTTATACGGTTCAACAACTGAAGGAACAATTATTTCCTTATAAGTTACGGGTAAAGATATTTGTACCCTAACTTCTGAAATGATCAAATTCTTATTTTTATCACTCCCACTGATTTCACCATTCTTAATGAATCTGACATTACCGGTTTCAATAATTATCGTACTATGTTTCGGATAGTAAAACTTGTACCATTTAGATTACTTAATATCCACAACATTATGGGTAACGAGGAATTATTTAACATACTCCTAACCAATTCCATAAGAGTACGATTATGCCTTACAGCTACACGCTTCTGCTGTGGCATGTATAACAAAGTGTATTGAACACAAATAGCATACATTTCAAGTAGTTTAACAAACGATTAGAGTATTAACCTGTTTCATCATACTTTACATAATATTCACCACCTCTATATGACCTTATGATTTTCACTTTCTATCTAGTTGTTTTTTAACCTCATTTATGTATACTTCAAGAGTACCCACTGCTTAAGATTTTTCATACAACAAATAGATATATCCATAACATGAAAAATTAACTATAAAGGCGATAAAATACTTTTCTCCTCCAAAAGATGGAACATCAGAAGGTCTACAAATAATTTCAAGAAGTTATGTACTTATTATGGCTCATTTCTTTGTGCGTTTAGTTTGTCTACCCTTAATACAATCTACACACACATCAAAATCAGTAAAGTTTAGATTCAGAAGAATCACATCCTTTACTAATTTTCCTAACCTTTCACTAGATATTGACCTAGTCTTTTATGCCAAAGATAAATTTTCTATTAATTGAGCTACGCTTAATTCTAACATTATGATACAAAATCAAAAGGATTTTAATAAATAAACCATCAAATTTGAATTTACAGAAATCATCAACAATAATGCCATAACTCACAAATTATAATTTCTTAAATAAATATCATTACCAAATTTAAATGAAAAACCATTAACATAAAGTTTTTGAAATAAAATCAAATTATGGGAAATTGAATAAACATAAAAATTTTAAAATAATTTAAATAAAATCCATTGTCTAACATTAAACATAGTGTCACAATGGTTTTAACAAAACTTTTTCCCAATTATCATAAATAAGAAATTCTTATTTGAATTTGTGGTTTAGGCCATAAAAAATTCTTGTATCTATTAGAAACATAAATATTAGTACTTAAGTCAACCTATCATGTATTAAAAAGAATTCCAACAAGTAATTCGCAATATACAAAAACCAAAAGCGTACTTTTCTTTTTGCGAATCATTCTTTATATATCATATAATCTTTCTAAAAGTGTTCAATACATTAATGACACTTTTTCATTATTACATTACTTTCTTTTAGTAGATTGACCTAAATCTTTTAATTTTGGGTGTTGCTCACTTATTGCCTTTTCTGACTTATTCCCAAATTTCTTTCTAACTTCTTGAGTCGTCAGATGAACATAATGATTACCTTGCTACTTAAGTTTTGTCTCCTTATAAATTAACATAATGGTCAATTAAATCACTTTCCACTTGTCTTAATAGTGTTAATTCGAAATGACCCATACTGAATAGACAATAAATTGAGAATAAATTGAATAAGAAAATTCTCATTCACAATCATCCATAAGGTTCTCAATTTTGCAGCAATATTAGTCATCTAAAAAAACGATCATACATGGTACAAGTACTAACAAATAATCCATAGTAGTTATATCAATTAATAATTTTCGTTTTAGATATTTATCTACAACACGAAAACATTCTTATAATCAAATATTCCTTAGCACTATCACTATGAGGAACAATTATTCGCATAACCATAATGCTTAATCTGTTCGATCTCTCCCAAGCTTTATGGATAATCTTTTCTTCCTCACTGTTTTTATCAGTAATAACAGTAAATTTCTCAATTAAAAATGTTAAATTAAGATTTAACACATCTAAATTTTGAACTCAACTTACTCATTTCATTATGAGAAGTTAGTAATATTGAGAATCAGAACAGATATAGCATGCGCATTAAAGGATGTAATAAAACAAATATAATAAGATAAAATCTTAATAACAATAATGCTTTGAGTTAACAACACGTATGTATAACTTAAAAATATAAATACAATGTATAACTATAGTACCCCTTTGGGTGGCAACTAAAAAATACTAATAATGATGCTTACATGTACTTATATGTATACCTTTATTGGTGATGCATTATTTAATTAAACAAATAAGTTACCTTTGGATATCCTATATTTACCTAATTAAAAAAAAATACATACGACCCTTTAATTTTTATTTAATCACTTGAAAATCAATTCCCTTTGAGGAATTATTTCTCATAATTAAATAAAATCAATATTCATGAATATCACAAAAAATTATAAGCATCATAATTCATGAAATATTGCAATTATGTTTATTACTAAAATTAATATTCATCAACTATTATGGTTAGGCCACTTTGGTAGCTACTAACCCACACATAATATGAATATTAAATTAACTAGTAATTAACTAATTATTAATTTCCCTATTTAACATTATACACACATACTCATAATTGTCGATTAAAGTTTAAGCAACTTCGATCTCAAAAACTTAATAATCCGAAATTTCATAGAAAATATCTTTTTATTTTATATACATAATAAAATATATTATTTTATTTTCGGACTTAAAGATCATAATTGAATCAATTTAAAATTGATTCTACAATATGTATGTATGTTTGGGTACGAAACAACAAGTTATTTGCATGTCTAATTTATTAGATTAAATTTCTAAACTCACAAATTATTCTAGAAATTCAAATTCCTAAAATAAATAAATCAATACATATATTTTATGTATTCAATAACTTTAATTTTAATTTATTTTAAATTAAAATCAGAATCTTCAAATCATTGGACAAGTACTTATAACAATAATTTAAACCTCTTTAATAAAATAAATAAATACACAAACTTTATGTATTTATTAATTTTTAAATAATAATAATAATGAGTCTTTATAATCCTTTCACAACTTACTGTTTCTATAAAACAATAGCAAGACAAATGCTATTATTATTATTATTATTATTATTATTATTATTTAATTCAATACTCTTTATTAGTCATGCACGAAAATCAGTAACCTAAAGCATTAAAGTTGTTTGTCTTACACACATTATGCATACGTTTGTACTATTACACATATGTAAACTATGTATCAGTAATCAACTTTCATAATTCAATTTTGGCTCGAAAATTGAGGTACCTAAACCCAAAAACCACATGGGCTGATCTAAACATACGATTCTAAAAGAATGGATTATACAATCATTTAATTTTAAATTTATACATATTATTTATGCAACTTTAATGAAAAATAATGAGTTCCTAAACCATTAGCTCTGATACCACATGTAAACTATAATAATTCGTGTTAAGCCATTAATCACAAATTTACATGAATCCCATATCTTAGAATTTCATGATTTTCATATTTTTATAATGCATAAATAAATAGTTAGATATAAATACCTCGATTCATGATGTCAAACCTTGTTGAGATTAAATCCAACTTCTAGATCCTTTAACCACGAACTAATCTGTAACTCTGATCAACAGGCAAAGGTGGAAACTGGTTTCTCTCTCTTGGCCTTTTGTACACATAAAACTTTTACGTGTTATATCATTAATTGTACATAATTGATGGAGTACATGCACTTTTATAAAGGCAGAGAGAGGACCAGTTTTCCTTATAGTAACATAATTCTACTTTCCATCAAAGTAAGGAATAAGAAAGAAAAACACTTCTCCAATAAGTAATTACCAAAAAGGTAATTATAAGTTGACCAAAAATAAATAATATTAATTGATATCTATTTACTTACCCACCAAGTAATATATCACATGTCCAAATCATGTGGGCCACAATTAAATAAATAATCTTACACATTGTTGCATCATAAAATGTTGCACAAATATTGAATCCTCCAAATAATGTGGTGTTGAGAAATATATAAGAACTAAATTTCACATGATATTTTTGTCCACGTAACATAGTTCACAAACTCCAATCAGGATACAATTTAATGGACCCAGGACCATATTAGGGTAACACAACTAAATCATGTACCACAGTCATGAAATTCTTTTGAACTATTTTTGTGTTTTTTAGTAGTTGATTATATATATATATATATATATATAAATTTAACAAAAATAACTTATTCATCAATTTTTGACAAACTAACGTCTCACCCGATAGACTCCACTTGAACCTCGACTTTCACATTTGCCAAACATCAAAAAATTAAAATTAAAATAATATATTTATTTGAAAATATATATGTATTTTTCTTGAAAAATATTTTAAGTCAAAAAAAACAACGGAGTCAACGCACTTTCACTACAAAATTCAATAAATGATGATTTTTGATGACTTCGAGTGACTTTTTGTTGCATTGCTAAAGATGATTTAATACAATTAATAAATTCACGGAGTTCCTTTGTCAGTAAAAGCTTAATAATCAAAACCTTTAACTAAATTAATGAGCAAAAATAGACATGAGCATGACAATAGAGACAATTATGGTACAGAACATATATTGCATACTGACTACTTTCAGTACAGGCATGAAGAAACAAATGAATTAACCATAGACAAGGTGATTACAAAACATATATTGCCATATATCACATTTGCTTATTGAAGCAACTTAAAAGACCAAAATCTGAAAGTAAACATACATATATATATCCAAATGAAACAAGCAACATTAAAGTCGAATTTTAATGCCCAGATCATAGGGTTCCAAGTTCTCGATCTTATTTTGCTCTTACTCGGCAGCCAACCAAGCATCACAAATTGTTATCTCGACGAATGGAGACAGAAGTTTGAGAATTTGTCAGAAGAAAGTTGATCCAGAACTGGTGTGGACTATCCTGGACTCTATCGGTACGATATAGCAGCATAGTTACATAAACTTGATCGGCACAGAAGCAGCAGAAATAACCAAAAACAATCTTAACCAAAAAAGGCAGTCCAGCCCTCAGTTACTGAACAAGTATGATCAGCCAATGCAAGAGTATGGTTTTGTCAACTGATCTTACCCAAAAAAAGCAGCATTGGAGCAGAATTTCCACTTTATCGTTCGTCTCTAATCCAATACTCGTAGCTGCTGTTGCTTCATCTGATAAATTTAGCATCTAAGAAAGATTCGGAAACTATATGAGAGTCCCGTCTTTCAGTGACCACCAATTGGAAGCTGAAAGATAATAGCTGTCTCTTTATATCACAAGTTGTCAGGACAGCCAAACAGAAGTTGCAGCAAGAACCCTTTCATTGTTCTAATAGACCAAAGCATTCATCATGCAACAGCATATTAGAACGAACAACAATGCTGCAAGTCATATTCTCCTATTTCAAGCTGGAAACTTTAACATTCGACTAATTTAGGAGCCTGAAACTCGAGTCATGTTTCCCTTGGATAGAACCGGAGATTTGCTGAAGGTGTCCCTTTTACCGTTACAGACACCATTTCCACCTTCTTCTGCCTTGGAAGCCACAGTACAGATACCAAACTTCTCAGTGATGCCCACCCCACAACGGGCACGCCGAGAAGGTCTTGATGTCAAGTTCTCTCGTGGATTGACTTCTGTACCCTTCCGCTTCTTATTTGTTTTTGTGGTCAAGAACCCATTTGCAAGAGCTTCCAAAGCTCTTGCAGTCGGTGGCCTGACTCTCGTACTCTGCCTCCGGGAGTTCATGTTAGGCTGCTGCTCAGAACTAGCCACAACCATAGAAGTTTTTTCATTAACATCTGGCTGGTTGCTCATTTGATCATCTTGCCCTTCTCTCAGCTCCATTTCGAAGATTTCAGCTGTACCAAAATCTGATGGGACTTGAGGTACATTCAGGTCAATCAAGGTTCGGGTTTGAGGTTTCTCACAAGGATGTTCTGCGCCAAAAACAGTGTCACAGAAAATGCCGCCACTGCTCTCAGAAGGGCTGCCTTTAGATGAACTGAAGGATGACACCCTCTTCCGAGATGAACCTGTCCAAGTGATGTTTTCACTTGAATCCTGAGTATCTGAGCAGCAATTGTGCTTCTCTTGTTCCAATCTGGCACGCACTGAGGAACCGATCATGCCATGGTTTGTCTCTGCATGACTACAAGCAGTTAATTTCCGACGTCGTTTTGTGACGGGGGATAAATATTTGAAGGTCTCTTGTTTCAGCTTCCACTTTAAATTGCCCTTTGCAGACTTTCTTGGTTGCTTCTCTGCGCACAAATTGCTGCAGTCTTTGGCAATTTTCAAAGGTGCATTTTTAGAATCTGGACCATTAATTGGAATTGCCTGTTTCAAAGCACCAAATTGAAGATTTCTCCCATCAAAAATCAATCCCACATCAGATGCAGCCTTTGTGTGTTTGGAAAAATTAGTCTCTTTTTCATCAAATGACGTGGAATTAGAAGAGTCTGATTCATCAGTTGAAAACACAGAAGTATCCCCTTCACTCTCTTCACAATGAACTTCAGATATGGTGTTTTTAGAAGCATCAACTGGCAAAGTTCTCAATTCTCTCACATTGAATGCTTTTCCATCAGCTAGACTTGTGTCCACAACAGTAAATTTCATCAGCTTTGTGCTGCACTTTGGAGTTCGAGGCTGAAGGTAACAATGAGGTTGCCGCTCAGATAGGTCATCTTGTTCCAATTTTGCTTCACTGGTCCATGCATATTCATCCTTTCTTCTGCTGCAGTCATCTGCTTCATTGTCAAGCTGAAGGAGGCCCGGTTCTGAAGCAACTTTACTCAAGACATCACTAACAGAATCAAAATAGTGGTTTCCTTTCACTAGTCTCCTTCTCGAGAACTTCTTAACACCAGGCATAAGAAAGACCAAGCAGTGCTTGGAACCAGCAGCATAACTCTGGTTCTTAGGTTGCTCTGAATGCCATCCTCTTGCAAGCAAACGAGGCCAAATGGCTTCCCAAAATAAATCATTTGATCGAGCTTTGCTTAACCGAAAATCTCCAGTTAGGAACTTCATAATTTCCCTGGGTGTAAGAGATGAGCATGCTTTGCCAATTGGCATCTCTGAGCGCACAGGAATAACATGATTGGACTTTGGAGGCTCCAATACAATCCTCGTGATATCTTGCTTCCTTTTACCAATTCCCACTGCCTCCACAAGTCTTTTCATCCCAATAATAGCTTTCAAATTGAAGACATATTCTTCAAATGACATCTTGCCCTCTCCGAATGTCCTAGAGATCTGCCAGTTGATCAAAATGTATAGATGATCAGGGCGTAAGTTTCTATAATAGAAGAACAAAAAGGAGAGAGAAAAAGTAAAAAGTAAAATAAAAAATAAAAATAACTAGCCGTGACAGGCTTAAAGAGAAATGCAATACCCAGTGTACGTCCCAGCAGGTAATGGGAGGGAAAGAGAGGAGACAAACCTAACCTTTGGTATTATTTTGTGCAAAGTAGCTGTGCTCTAAAAACTCAAACTATTGTCCTCACACTAGTGAGTTCAATTTTTCACCATTGCACCAAGCAATGGAAGATCTAGTATCACCAAATTTGTAGCCTTCATTTAATGTAAAATTCTGTAACAAATTATTAAGTGAATGATTTTGCAGCAGCTTAAACCTAAATCAGACTATCATTGAAGGGAATACTGAATAATGGCAATTATAAAAAGCTTTCCAATTTGAACTTTTTGGCAAAGACTGGTCTAAGAGACCCATGGATCTAAGAGGACCATAAAAAACACTCTGATGAGTTAAGCAAAGTTAGTAGATCGAAATAGAAATGCAGCAGCAAATGAAATCATTTCACCAGAATATTAGCATTTCTCTGCCCCTCACTAATCTAGACAAATTCATTCCAAAGTACTACTGAGTAATGTGTTTGTTTGAATAACATGAAAAGGTAGAGGAATCATATGCCTTCTTTTTCTTATTTGACAACCACAATCTGTGTCATTCTTTGTGCTCCCAAACTTAATTGACGGTAATATCCATTCTTGCATTGCCTCCTACTAGTGGCAGTACACTTAAAACATATATCTCTGCATCTACATGTTCTAGAGAGTATTACTATTTTTAAAAAGTGACCCTGAATAGCTTATCCCCATTTAGAAATGATTTTATTTTTTTCCCAACTTCTCATTTAAAACTAGGTTAGATAATTGACACTTTTACGCCCAAGTAGGTCTACATGAAAACATTACAGTACAATTCATAAACATAAAGAAAATTAATGTAAGAAAATAAGCAAAGTAGCAATACAATTTATTCGAAAGTTCAAAGATAATGTAGAAAAATATGGTTGTCATGAGATAGTGCATGGTGGATATAAATTTGGATACGGAAATGACAATAGAGAGGCTATCTTAAACTCCATAGTCACATTTGATTTTATGATAGCAAATAGAGAAGAGTAGAATTTTTTTTTTTTTTTTTTTTTTTGATAAGTAAAATAGAGAAGAGTAGATTGACTTATATGTAAAAAGATTGAAAGATTATTTCAATAGAGAGCTTGGCAACACACTATGAGTTGACAGCATGAGCATGCACATGAATATATTAAAAAACATCAAGAAAGTAAAACGAGATTAAAAACACAAGACTGCGTGGTGCATTTTAAAAAAGAGAAGAAAGTAAAACAATTTAAGAAAATGATGCTAAAACAAGCAATGTGGAATTTAAAAGATGAAACTAGTGTGATATGCAAGAGTCTTGGAGAAATGAAAGGAAAGGGTAATTAACTAAGGAAGCTTGATAATGAAACGAGGATGCCTAAATTTGTTATAAATAAGCATGGGAGCTGTAAAACTTGAAAATACAAAAAAAAATTGACAAGATGAAAGTTTTGAAAGATAAAATACGAAGTGAGAAAAATTTTAAAAATAAAGAGACACAAGTATTGAGCATATAAAGATCTTTATTTTATATTGGGCATAAATAACAGAGAGAAGAATATATTCAACATACAAGAAGCAAAATGATTTATACGTATTAACTGCATCAAGAGAGTCTAGATAAAATATAATGAAACTAGATAAAGGTGAAAAAGTTACTTCGAGAAGTTGTTCAATGAAATCGTATATGAAGCTTAAATTTATAAATGCTTGTTAAGATTAGAAAAAATAAAAAATAAAAATAAAAATCCCTAAGATCAAGGTATTTGTTATGAGGGTAGGCCTTGGCGCAATGGTAAGGTTGCTCCATTGTCACCTAGAGGTCACTGGTTCAAAACAGGAAACAACATCTCTATATGCGGAGGTAAGGCGTACATCTGACCCTCCCCAAACAATGCAATGGCGGGAGCCTGCTGCACTGACCTAACTCTTATCAACATATTCGTCACATGGACCCATCAAGAATGCATGAAGTACCCACATTGGACACAAAACGCCAGGACATGGGTAAGTTTTCCATAAAATAAAAGAAAAACATTTATAACATAAATATTTAGTTGTCTTCTCATGTCCTTGAGTTTAAAATTCTAAAAAATTTGATGCTTAGACACATATAAGCACCCGACACACATATAAGCACCCGAGTTCATGTAACATAGCTATTTAAGATAAAATCTGAATTGAAGAAGATAATGTTTAAAGGATGATGGCATGTCTTGTCTTGTTTGATAAAATCATAACAACCAATAAGCACCCAATAAGTAGCAACAAAATATTATAATACCAATATAAAAGTAAGGGGGATCTTCAATGTTTACAGATTATCGTGCTATTAAATTAACAAGTCATATTTTTACTTATTAAAAAAATGAAGCAGTCATACTATTTGAGAGAGAGAGTGATTAAGCAGCGACCTAATACTCAAAATAATGATATCAGAAAATTAATTTGAAATTTAAGCTTAAGTAGTCAACATGGGAAGACACTTAGTTATTGAGGAAAGTAATGGACAGACTTAGCGAAAGATGTCAAGTGAATAAGAAAAATCTCTATAAAATCTCTAGAGGTATCATATGGTGGGTTTTACAAAAAAACATGTACAATGAAGATATGACTAGAAATAAGTGGTTTTCAATTAATATAGCATACATTAGAGATAATGTTAAGCCACTATCTTTCACATTAGCTATATATTAACTATTCATAAACTAACAAGACACATTCTGAATATAATTTAAAGGTAACCTATTTGTTAGTGATATGGTTTCAGATTGCTGAAAATAAAGTAAGGAAAAAATCCAAAATGTAGTTCTGAATAGAAGCTTCAAAATCAAGAATGATTAAGATAAATTGGACTTAAAAAGAAGTAAAACTAGCAATATAAGTAGCAATGTAGTGAAGATCAAAAGACAAGAGATACCAAAAATCAAACCTTTAACTTGTCTAGGCTCAATTATTCATAGGTAGGGAGAGACCGAAGATAATGTAACTCAGAATTAAAGTAAGATTAGTTAAGTGATAAATTCTAGCATATTGTGCAATCGGCATATTCCCTCTAAATTTCAAAGGTAAATTCTACAAAAATAACTACTTGACTAGTCATACTTAACAAAACATAATTTCATGTGGCTAAGAAACATATTATAAAGAGCCTACTGAGATGAGTGAGTGTTAATACAAGAAAAGACAAAATCAGAAATGAATAAATTGGTGAAGTGGTGTAACTAACACCAGTTGGAGTCTTGGAGAGAGAAAGAGATGAGTAAGACGGTTTCACCATGAGCAGAAAAGACCAATAATTGTACCAATGAAGAATAGTGATGTGATGACATAAATAAACATGGTTTAAGATATTAAGGAAAAATATGATAGAGTGGTTTAAAAAATTCAGGAAAAGGTTTTGTTGAGCTGAGTGGAATTATGGCCTTAGATAGAACATGGTGATACAACATAGATCATGTAACAACTTTCGAATGGTTGAGACAACGTTTCGTTGAGTTAAATTAAGTTGCATATTAGGAAAAAAAAAAAAAAAAAAAAAATTGTATTTCAATATAAGACATCCTGTGAAATTGGTTGTGTGTGTGAGCGCACTCATGTGCACAGGTGCACATGAGTTTCATTCAATTAATAATTCCATCCTCAATTCATAAGCTCTTCGAAAAGAGGAAAAAAAAAAAAATTGTATGCAGAAAGTACTTCATGATATACCTCCAACAAACTATTTTGGCATTCTTCAGATGCATGGGGAAGCAAACGAGATAACAGCTCCTGCTGCCTCAATCCAGTAAAAATCTTTTGCCCATACACACATCTTCTGCTTCTCATCTTTCGACAGTCTGACCATCTACGGTATCCATTGGACCTATAAAACTTTCCATAGTAGAATGACAGTATATCTCCCATATTTTTACTCTCAATAAATCTCTTCACCAGAACAAGGTTCTTCCCAAAGATATATAAGCCAAGGATGAAGCTTGCCTCTTCATTACTACTCCATGAATCACCAAAGGATCCAGGAACTAAGTAGCCTAGGCCTCTGTAATCCTGATGCACCTGATTTCTCATTTCTTGCTCCAAGGCTAAGTTTGGTGATCCTCCAGATTGAGTCCAAAAGTCCAATGCTAAAGACTCGACTTTTAGATCTTCATCTTTTAAGTTAATCTGGGCCTCTCTTATGCTTTCAGATTCAAAATGGGCAGTCATTTTGGATTTATCATTTAAATCATCAAACAATCCTACCCCTTCATTTTTCATGTTTCCAACTTGCTTATTGATCCACATAATTGGTACAGGTAATCCCATTAGAAAGTCACAAGGAACAACAACAATATCTGCATCAGTTGGGTTCCTTGTGTAAGAAAGGTAATCAGATTTTGTGAGTAGTTGTGGGATTTCAACCTGATACTGATCTCCAACTCGAGGAAGCACATCTGGATCTCCGAAGACATTGTATCCACCAGATACAACTGGAGAAAATGTGTCCTCAACCCAATCCCCATTGTCATTCGGTTGGAGTAAGTCTATCTGGTAAATAAATCAAACAGAAATTTTCTCAGTTTGTATACATAAATCTAAAGCATAAAGCACAATTGAATATAGATCAGTTCACTCCTAAGGTAAAAATAAAACTTTAAACTTACGCGAGTCTGACAAGTGATTATCCTTTGATTCCTTAATGGAGCATATGAATTTAAAAACTTGGAGACGGGATATGCATGGAACAGGACACCACAGAAGGAGCAAAAAAGTAGTGAATCAAGCATGGGTTTTTACAAGTATAAATGAGATGGATTGCTGTTTCAGCAGAAAATATATGCTGTTTAAATGAACTTCATGTCATTGGTTCATCAAAGATCACGACCAGAACAAGGGAAAAATGGACCAGGGAAAAGCACATACTGTAACAAACACTTGTAAAACAAGCACAAAGGCAACTATATCAATATATAAGTGAAGCACAGATACAAATTTGTTCATTCACAAAGGTTTGATGATCCATTTAAAAAGTACAGTTCTAAAAGTAGAGGTATTATAATTGTGTACATTCTAACTGTATCATTTATATCTACAATTTTTATTCCCAAAAAGTGGACCTGAGCCAATAATTAAAATCTCATGAGAAAGCAAGCAAGAAATTCCACCAAGATAGAAGTAACGTTACGTTTGGGAGCACCGAATTATACTAAATTTTTTCCAATCCCAAATCCAAGGCGCCGATTCAGTGCCGCCAAACATAGCATAAAAAGAAATTCAATGCCACAATCTTTTAGAAAATAACAAAGTATCCTGCAAACACACAGTAGAACAGATGGTGGAAGGCAAAAACAATCTTTCCCATAAAATCAATGAAATGCTCAAAACAGAAACAGCAAAAACCACATATAAATATTGACGTAGTATCAACCCATAAAAAAATTTGAAAATTAACAATCACCACAGGAAACAGATTGAATGTGGTCGGACAAACCCATCACAAAATACTGAACCCCAAATTTATTTTCAGCCATCCCCATTGAACCAACCATAGGTAAATAATAATAATAAACAAGAAAAATAAATAAATAAACTAAAAAATTCACATAAAAAAAATGAGAACCCACAAGTATATTAACCTCAAAATACAAAACAAAAAACATTTTGGATCAAATGAAGATCGGATAGGGGAAACCCAAGCGCTCATGTGGGTAAGTCATTTGGCCCTGGTGACTCGGGAAGTATCACTGCTAAAGTTCGACTCCTTTTGGTGCAAACAATTTATTGGAGGGTGTGAGTACCAACTTTAAAAAAAAAATTATAATAATAATAATAATAATTGAAGGCAAAGAAAATCTTTCCCACAAAGACGATGAAATGCTCAAACCAGAAACAGCAAAAACCACACGTACCCATCATAAAATATAAAAATTAACAACCACAGGAAACAGATAAAAAGGTGTTCGTACGAACCCATCACAAAATATTGAACCCCAAATCTATTTTAAACCATCCCGAAGAACCAACCATGGATTAAAAATAAAGAAAAAAATTAAAAAACAACTTTAACATAAAAAAATGAGAACCAACAAGTACATTAATCTGTAAACAAAAAACAATTTGGATCAAATGAACTCAACATTCGAAGTTTAAATTAAACCCAGAAATATATAAAAATACATAAATAAAAATAAACTAAGAACGAAGACACCAAGAAACTACCTTTCATAGTTAGAATTCCAATGTGATCCCAACAAACTCAACTCATATAAACACCAAAGAACCATTAAAACACATAGAACTAAAACAAATCGTGTCACAACTCACAAGCAAAGCAATAATATATACACAAATCACACACACACAAGACAGAAAGGAAATTTACTAACCTCCATGGAAGCACGAAAATGTTAAAACCCACGTGAAGAAGCGAACCTGATGAAATGGGTCTGCACAGTAATGTGTCGATTAACAAGTTAATGATACAAAACGCAAAAATAAAAAGAGAATTATATATATATATATATATATATATATACACACGTATATATATTATTCATTTATAGATATCTATATATGTATAAATATATATATATATATACATATTATATATACTTAAAAAAAAGGTTTGTGCCTGCTCTAAGAAAGCAAGCCCAAGGTTTCATGCTTACCACGGTTAAATTAGTCGAAGACTCGAAGAAGAGCACAAAGAGGTGGAAAAATATTGAAGATTCTCACTGCTTTAGCGAGAGAGATAGATGTGGGTTAGAGAGAGTATTAGCACAGAGAGAGAGGAGTGGGGTCTGGTCTCCGTTAAAGAACGAAAATTGTATCTCTACGCGCGGTGATGGAGCGTGAGGATACACAACTGTCGAACTGACACGCGACAGACGAAGGGGACCATATAGGAGAGATCTAGTGCAGAACGTTCTTATACACCTGATTTAATTACGGAATGAAATTGTGCCACCTGTCATTTGGCAGTAAGAATTTTGTAATGGAATTGTACGTACCTATGGAACAACAAAGCTCATAATACATAGAAACTTGTCTAAATGACTATATTACCCCTATTTGTTTTCCCTCTTTACCCAAAAAAATATTACTATTGTTTTCTTAAAAATTATCTTGGAGCAAATACATATAATATATGTGTACAAAAAAAAAAAAAAAAAAATTTCTTTCCCGTTGCATCGTGCAACGGGTACATTCAACCGTTCAACTGATACCGACTTATCAAGAAGAGACAATCAAACTGTCTTTTACAGTATAATATTGAAACGAAATGAAGAACAAAAGTGAGAAAATAATAAATTGCAAAGAATTACAAAGCAAACTTTATTTGATGTAAAAAGAGTAATCCATTCAATAATCCTTTGCAATTCTTTGTAATTTATCATTTTCTCTTGCTTTTGTTCATTATTTTGTTTCAATATTGTTGTAAAAAACAATTTGATAGTCTCTTCTTGATAAGGCGACATTGCGTATAATACACAAACAGACACAAAATGGTCCGTATGCATCCGTTGCAGGCACGTATATTATACGGACAATTCAAATGCATATGTTGTATGGTGCAATGGGCACAAAAAAAGTTTTTCTACGGACATTACCTAGTGGGTCTCTCTCTCCCCAAACAAATGTGCTTCTATTTAAATCCCTCCGAAGAAAAAATAGATATATTATATATTTGTATACACAATCTTTACCATACAAAGGAAAATGAGATGAAACTTTTTCAGAAATTTTTAATTAACCTTTTTATCCCTCATTTTCTTGCCTCGGATTTTAAGGCTAGAATGAAATGAGGTATTTGCCTAGTTATCTTAGCCCATTAACACTTCAAAATAATTTACATAAAGAACAAGTTTGACTAGCTTATTTTAAAATGAAATGAGGTATTTGCCCAGTTATCTTGGTCCATTAACACTTCAAAATAATTTACATAAATAATAAGTTTGATTAGCATATTTTAAAGCTCACTTAAACCTATGATGATAGTGTCAAAAGTGGTACAAATCACCAGGTAGGTGCTCAAACATGCTAGCAGTTATTTATAGAAATGTCAGGTTTGATTAATTTTAGACAATAATTTTGTTCTAATTTTCTGAAAGCCAAATTTCATTTTCAGATTTCTTGTAGCCACATAGGTCATAAAACACTTGGCTCATAAACCATTACCTTGTCCAACTTATAATTCCTAGGAATTTGACATGTCACAATTTACTGATAATTATGCTAATTATAATTTAGAAAATAATGGTAGCCTATATCATTTTCTTGTTATTGTTAGAAACTGTGAATTAACACCATCACCCATTTACATCATTCATTCCATCAGCAACTTGGCAGTCAAGAATCGTGATCAACAAGCTGTGGTTTCAACTATATGTATACGTGGTCAACAAGTATACTTGAGTGATCAGCAAGCTCAAGTTTGTGATATTTAGGCTATAAATAGCCTTACTCCCATGATGTTTGATCATTCAACAATTGAGTGTGTTTACTTTGTTAGAAAAGATGCAAGTTTTAAAAACTTTTTGAGGAATTTTCATACATAAATCTTGATTCATCACATAGAGGCAAGTTTTATACAAAAATAAAATATGATATATCATTCAATTTAGGGATTGAATACTTACATCAAAAGTTTGAGTAAACCTTTAAATTTTTCCTCTAAAGTGAATGTTCTCACTTATTGTAAATCCCTTTATTAGATGCCTTCTCTTAGATCTCCATCTTCTCGGTAATGGTTTTGCCTTTAGGAATCACCCATAAACCTCCATGAATGAACTTAGAAAACTAGACTTGTGGGAGCCTCCATTAGATGAGAACACTAACCCTAAAAATTTAGAGAGAAAAAATATTTTTTTGTCCTCTCAAAATCTCCCCTAAAATATACATGGGCCCATGTATATATAGGTAAAAAAAAGATAAGGAAAGTAAACAATAAATCCTTCTCAATCTCTAATTCACATATCTCAAATCTAATAGGATTCCAATATCAAGTTGGGCTATGAGTGAGAATCTTTTGGGTTTATTATTTTATTGGCTACAATGAATTAATAATTGACCCAATCTATGGACCCAATTAAATTAATTCATTAATTAATTTCTACTCCACTAAAAGAAATTAATTAAATTCCAATTAAATAATAAATAACCTCTAAATCAATGTTGCACTTTGACCCCTCTATGCATAATTAGTTATCAGATAAATAAAGCCATCAATCCGACTACTTAATTAATATATTTATTTTGGTACCTTTGATTATTTCCGACTCTGTAATGACCCAGTCATTTTACTTCCTTTTTTTTTTTTTTTTTTTTTTCTTTTTCAAAAATTTTCTTTTTTTTCGTCTTTTCCTTATTTCGTCCTCTTCTCGTTTTTCACTTTTACTTACATAACCTCATTTTTGGTGCTCGGATTTGATTCCGGCCTTGCGCACATCCATGATATTTAATATCTAATGTATCTACATTTTTATTTTTGTAGAAAAGCATGTAAAATGTTTACTTTTCTTGTAAAGTGCATAAATACATTACTTTTGGTAATTACTCTAAACTTGAAGGGTTTTTGTATAATTAAATAAAGTAATTATTTTTCATCTTAGGGACCACTTTACAATTTAATTTGAAAGATATTTTCAAAAAGGACATTTTTGTAATTTTTCAAAAATGTGACAAGTGTCACTTTCCTATGGTGCCACATGTAGGCATTTGGGTGGAGAGATTTGGAACCATAATCTATTGACACATGGAGGGTGGAGATTCATCCACTTGTTGGCCTAGGATTGGATCACTTGTTGGCTTGGATGGTTGACAAGTGTAGGCCTAGGATTAAACCTAGAAGGGAACCTTAGGATGATGACAAGTGTAGGTCTCACATTTAGTCTTGCAAATTGCTTTTGGGCCACTTTGGGATTATAGTTTTAAAGAAGGATTTTTGTGCAATTGAACAAACTAGTGTGTGTTGACCATGGTGTAAGACCACATAGTAAGTGGAGGATTTCTATTTCCTCCACTCACATTCTCTCATACTTGGCTTCATCATCTCCCTCTCATATAAAGAAAACCCTAGCCTCCATGGAAGAAGCTTGAAGCCTTAAGCTTTGACCTTCATTTTTGGCTACCTTCCACTCACCCTAGACCTTTAAGCTTGGAACATTTTAGATTCCTGTCACTCTTCTCTACAAAACCCTTGTTTGGTTTTCCATTTTTAAGCTTGGTTGCCTTGGATTCAAAAAGAACAATCCTCTTGTGAGATAGGGGGTGTTATCATTTATCTTCCAAGTAATTTAATTGTTCTTATAGTGATATCCAAGTTATATGCATGTCTTGTATTGAAATAAGAAATAAATGTGATACCCCTCGAATCCGAGACACGGGTTGATCAAGCCAAGGCCCAAACCCGAGGGATATCAAACAATTAATATTTTATAATGAACACAGAATACAAACCGAAATAAAAAAAATAAAGTTTAAGCTAATAGAAACTAAAATAAAATCCTTAAATAACAAAGATTCAATAATCCAGCTCAAAAACCTCCAAGGTTACAACTTGGGAATCCAACTAGTGGACCCAAAATAAAACTCCAACTGAAACTGAAAACTGAAAGTAAAGATATTCCAAAACTAAATCATGAAGCGAAATCCTACATCGTCGGTAGAATGAATGAGAGTCCCTGCTTAGCACAATCAAGCTTGAGACTAGAACCGTCCGTTACCTGAAAAGAATAATAAAGAAGTGGGTCAGGCCCACATGCAAGTCCCAGTCTAACTGTAATCCATACAATGCCCGATACGCAGATACACCCTAGATACCCTCAACATAACTACGTAATCCATAAATATACATATATATCCACACTAAGGACATTCACTGAACTATAGTAGAGGTCTCAACCTGAATAGAAGGCAACATGCGAAAACGCACCCAAAGGTGAGCATGAATACCTAAACCTAACAGGGTACACCTACCTACTATATCCAGCTACGCATCCACTGCATATACGCACCCTAACCAACGACTTTGAGACTCAGGCTCATATCGTGGTACCATAACCATATATCTAAAGTCCGTCCAAAACCATAGTATGTCATTCACTTATTCAATGAGGAGACATACAAAATACCATCCAGATAAGCACTCAACTTATTCAGTTGAAGTGACTTAACTACAACCAATTAATCTAGGAAGTCACTCAACCTAGTCAATTGATTCGACTTAAACACATTAATGGATTCCATATTTTACAATCCATATTTTCCATCCGGTAGGTTAGGTTAGCGTTTTTAAGCTAAACCATCCCCTAGTATGCCACCGTCCCATACCTGTGCATACAATCCTCCTTTATCATGCAG